TATTATTTTTTATTTGTTTCCATAATTTATCGACTGGATCTTTTTTTTTTTTTTTAAGTTACTAATTCACATGTAAATTAGTACTTCCATCAAACCAAATCACATGAAAATTTAATTAATTTGTATGTTAATTACTAAATTGAAACAAAAAAAGATTATAAGAGACCAAAATAGAGTTTTAGCCTAATATAAATCAACAAATCTACTAGTGCTCAGCTGATCTTGATACACATCAAGTCTTACACCTAATCTATTAGATAATAGTGAATTAATTATTGGTTAGCAATGTGCATTGATTGGCTAAGGAATTGACAATCTATTTTTGAATACTAATACTTCAAATATATTAATTATTGATGAGTGATTTATTGGTTGGTATTGTTGATGGGATGGTTAAAAGATGATTGTTCTTATCGGAGATCGGTCAAAGGGGACGATCTTCTAGGCAAGATTGATGAGTCTCCTCTGTTGGGTACGTCGATTGTTTCGAAGTGGGGGTGATACCTGTAAAAGAGACTCTGATACTAAAGTTAGTATGTGTGGGTGTATGGGTCTCATATATATAATGTACGTACTTTGATATGAATTAGGGTTTATCTAGGTCTTGGGCCTGAGGTCGGTTATGATCTGTTCAGATAGTGAGTCTTCGTTCTGGTTGATGTCTGGCAGCGTTCATCCAATGTTGTTTAGCGCTTCAGTACCAAACTTAAGCTCGGTTCCGCGATATGGATAGTGCAATGATATTTGTTCATTATGCAATCAATGGACGTTGTTAATAGACAAGTGACTTGTAATCGATTGATGTAGGTCACATCTAACATGCATTCAAGGTGTAGTGTTTTTTCCCCCCACAACATAATTGATCGGCTGACGGTCAACAAAGTCCGCCTTAGAGGTGTTTCAGGATATACTGGTTTTTACAAACATTATAACAAACTTCAAATGTGTAGTTACAATTTTTTTTAATTATTCGTAAAAGTGTTTAGGCCCATCTGATGGTCTCATTTAGAGGTAAAATGTGTTAAGAAATGAACAAATCTATAATATGTTCGAAATAATAGATCCATGCAAAATTTATCATCGACCCTCCTCCTCCCATTTTTCATTAAAAAACAATAATATGTTTGAAATATGTACTTATCCTAAATGTAGAGAGAAACACTAACTCTTATATTCTATAATACTTATTTTAATATTAGTTGAATATTACAAATCTTGGCAGATTTTATTACTAAATCAGAAAAGAACCTCATTAAATAAGATACAAAACTTTAAAAATTTATAATTTTCAATAAAATCCAATTAATAATATAGTTTTAGTAAGTATGGCTGGCAAAATAGATTTAATTTGTCAAGTTAAGCTGAATATGTATGATAAATTATAGGGTTTCAAACCCAAATTAAATGAGTCTTTCCAACTTCCTTAATTGATTAAATAAAATTATGTTTTATAAACTTTTACTCATTTGGTTAAATATTATATATATATATAGGTGCTTTTTTTACTATATGTAAATATTATTAATATTATCTATACCTATTAAGAGAATACACGATAAATAACTATTTTTAGTCTTCACATTTAGTAAATTATTATATCTCTTATTTGTTAAGAAAAAAATAAGTGAAATAATCGCATATTTTTTAAGTAACCATCCATTCAATTTATCTCTTTTATTTTATTTATAATTTTTAAAACTTAAGAGACACGAAGTGCCTCTTTTCTCTCTAGTATATATAAATGTTTTTCATATTAAAAATTACAACAATTGTCAATAAAAATATTTTTCTTAAATATAATAAAAGAATAAATAAATTATTTATTACATTAAAATAAATATCAATAAAAATAACCATCACAATAATTATCTTGCTTGAATTTTGAAAAGAAAAAAAAATTACAAACAAATTAAAAATGTTGGGTGAGTAAAAAATTTCCAATAAATTGCACTCAACTAGCTCACAACGGGTTAGATAATCTATTTTTCTAACTATATTAGTAAGTAGTGTTACAGAGAATTACTTACGCTCCTTAAATTGCATCCAACTAGCTCACAATGGACTAGATAAACTATTTTCCTAACTATATTAATAAATAGTATTACAGTATTACTAGCGTTCCTCATACAAAGAAATTTAAATCTTAATTCATAATATATTAGATTTAACTTCGGTAGTATACTTCTCCCCTTGATGGTATATTAGGAGATGAAACATTTAGTTGGAGAATAATTTAATTTTTTTAAACTAACATGACATGTTAAATAAAGTACTTTATAATTAATTTTAATGTATTCAAAAATAACAAACTAAATATATATTTACTTATTCACTAGATATAATACCCATGCTATACATGGGTTTGTGTAATATACATAATTAAAATATAAAAATATGTTATTTAAAAGAATTTTTTTATTCATTTGAAATCTGTTACAAGTGATTTTAAAAAATATCTTATGAATTTAATGAAAAATATTAAAATAAAATTCATTTAATTTATTTTAAATGTTTAATTAATAATACATTTTAGTTTTACATGTCAAGTTTTTATTATAAATATATGCAAGATAAAAAAAATTGAATAAAAATTATATATTTTTTTATTTAATTTTTTTTAATCTTGCATATATATATATATA